GGTGTTGGGAATTTGCAAAGAGTCCATGCCTTCCTTCGGGTTTGTCTCAATTTGAAAAAAATGTCTTATAAATAATGGCACATATTTAGTTTTCCAAAAGATTCCTGATTTTAGTTATTTCTATCTAGATTCGGTTGAGGGATTATGGAGTACTGGATTTTGATGCTGGTGATGCTCGACGGCAGCCTCCTGTTGATACCACATGGCAGCAGGTCTCGGATACTTCATCTGATTATTAAATTAGCTTTATTTTTTTTTCTTTAATATATTTTTCTTGAGCTAACTCATCTCACTGATATATCAAATTTCTTTTTTTGTTTCTTGAAATTAATATTGTTGATGTGCTAAGCTTCCACAATTTATTTGTTTATTTATTTGGTGACAGATATATTTTTGCCTGAGGTCTGGTTATTATGATGAAGCAAGAAATGTTGCCCTATCTTCCCGTGCTTCACATCAATTTTCTCCTTTGGTACACACTTTGGTAACCACTTATTTACTAATTGATGATATAGTATTTCTTAATGATTTTCTATTTGTGACAGCTCACAGAGTGGATTAATACTGGAGGGATGGTACCAGAAGAGATTGCTGCTGCTGCATCAGAGGAATGTGAGAAAATGTTGAGAACTGGTGACCGGGTTGGTCGAACTGCATATGACAAGAAAAAGTTACTTTTGTATGCCATCATATCAGGTTCCCGAAGACATATTGATCGCCTGCTTAGAGATCAGCCAACTCTCTTCAGTACAATAGAGGATTTCTTGTGGTTCAAATTGTCAGCTGTGCGGGATTGCCCTAGTGGACCTTCATCCATTGTTCTAACCGATGGTCTGATTCCATACAGTTTGGATGATTTGCAAAGTTATCTGAATAAATTTGAGCCCTCATACTATACAAAAAATGGAAAAGATCCTCTGGTATATCCCTATATCTTGCTTTTAAGCATTCAATTTCTTCCAGCTGTATTATACTTGTCTAAGGAAGCAGGAGATGAAGGATATAACATTGATGCTGCACACCTATCAATAGTGCTAGCTGATCATGGTGTCCTTTCTGAAGGTGCTGGTTCTGGGCAAAAGTTGGGAGTGATGGATGCTTATGCAGAAGTATCCACCATTATTAGGCAGTATGGATCTATGTATTTGCGTCTTGGTGATCTCCAAATGGCCCTAGAATATTATGCACAAGCTGCAGCAGCCGTGGGCGGGGGGCAGTTGTCCTGGACCGGTAGAGGTAATGTTGATCAGCAAAGGCAGAGAAATTTGATGCTGAAGCAGCTTCTAACTGAACTATTGTTAAGGGATGGTGGTATATATCTTTTACTTGGTGCGAGAGGTGCAGGAGAAGAAGGTGAATTGGGACGTTTTGTGACCGATCCAAAAGCAAGGCAACAATTTTTAATTGAAGCTGCATGCCAGTGTCAGGAGGCTGGGATGTATGACAAAGTAATTCCTTACTTTCCTATATTTCTGTTTTAATTTAGAGGTAAAATAGGAAAAGGACAGTCTTTGTCTGCCTGCCATTTCCAAATTATAAACGTGACCTGGCTGATAGGATTATCTCACACATCATAATCAGGTTCTATAGGTGGCGAGAATGGGAAAACACTATTCTGAATATATAGCTCAATGTGATTAGTACTGTCTTGTACTTCCTTTTTCGTCTCTGAGCTAAATCACTTTTTATTGCATTCAGGGATATTGTTCACACATTTATTTTCAAAGTTTAATAAATGTGTTTTGATATAAATTGTAATTAATTTTCATATTATATTTCTATTGTTTTGTGTCTTTACTCTGGGATTTCTTTTACCAATAATGTTATCCATTCCTCCTTTTCCAGCATCCATTTATTCATTACTTCTCTTCTTTGCTTTGTTACATATCTTCTTCTGTGGATTACTGGGTTTTCATCTAACCATAGTACTGCTTTTGGATGCTTTTGGTTCAGTCTATAGAAATTCAGAAGAGAGTGGGTTCCTTCTCAATGGCGCTGGATACCATCAACAAGTGCCTTTCTGAAGCTATTTGTGCCCTTTTCCGAGGAAGATTAGATGGTGAGAGCCGGACTGCTGGCCTCATCCATTCTGGCAACGAGATTTTGGAGACATATACTTATTATCCAGATGTCAGGTCATATTGAATCTCTTACCTTATTGCCTCACTTCATATATGGATATACTTTGTTCTGGGATATTGATATACTTATTTTCTGCTATTATTTGATACATATGAACCCTAGAGGCATGTTTAGAACTTATTCTGTGATGATTTCCCCCTGAATATATTTTTATCTTACACCTATCTATTATCATGAGGGGTTTTAGCAGACCAAATTTCTGCTTTTTGCGTTATTGGGAATGATAGTCCGGTGAAGTGAGATTTACTACCTATAGGATTGGGTCATCTCTTTGCTGATTCCATGGCTGTAGTTTTTGTTAGGTGTTTATTATTCTTAAAGTAGCATTTGGAAATTCCAAGACGCCCTACTATTGCTTGAGTTGTGCAACTCAGAAGGATTTAGGAAGTTGAAGATGCGGATTTTAATGAATTGGAGACCCTAGTAGTTTGCATTTTAGCTCTTCAATCTGAAGAATTTATAATGGATGCATTTAACTATACGGCATTATTGTTATTCTTTATATGTAGCAGAGCAGCATTCCATTTTTTTCAGTAAAATGATTGGTTGAATCTTGTTTGCAGTATTCGAGAGAGAGAACATGTTTTTGAGCAGCAAACTGTTTTACGACAACTTGAGTCAATACTGTCAATTCACAAATTAGCAAGACTGGGGCATTATGTCGATGTATCAAGGGAGGTTGCTAAACTTCCATTTCTTCCTCTAGACCCTCGAGGCCCTGATAGTGTTGCTGTTGATGTGTTTGAAAATTTATCTCCTCATGTCCAAGCTTGTATTCCAGATCTTTTGAAAGCTGCTCTCACTTGTATGGACAATGTGACAGACTCTGATGGATCACTTCGTGCCTTAAGGGCTAAGGTATTATCTTGTGGATCCCATTGGTTGGTTGAGCTATATCCATGCTTTTTTCGCTTTTGTTGAAATACCATAATTCGTGTTATTATTTAAAAAAAATGATGTGTTGGGAGCACTAACAGATATAATAAACTTTTTATGCCTTTCATATTGTATGGTAAAATTTATGAACCCATATCTTGAAGCTTTCCTACGAATCGGTATTAATCTGTTAATATGAAATCTATGTTCGGTAACTACATTTATTTCCTACTCTGCCCTTAATCCAATTTGCTGTAGTTAATACTCATGTGTTCTGTTTTCTGATTTTAGAAATAAAATATTAGTCTATAGAAAGGAAAGGAAGACAAAGGAAAAATTCGGTTGATTTTGTATAAAATCTGTTGTCAATACTAGAAGAAAAAGAAATAAGTACGTGTGAATAAATTAAAGCAATCCATTGGTTGGTTGATTTTAATTTACATTGTTACGAAAAATAATCATTTACACACTTTATGACGGAGGGTAAATGATGGTTTTGACATTCTTTTCCATTACCATGCCGTAAGGCCATTTTAATTATCATCTGTTGTAGGTTATAGTATTCAGTTACATTTGGTGTCTAATGGGATGAATGATTAAAGTGATGTTTGATAATTTGCTTTACAAATATGTGATCTTGTTTCATGATGGCTAATTTTTTTTTTAATTATTTTTTTCTGCAGATTGCGAGTTTTATTGCGAATAATTTGAAGAGAAACTGGCCTCGGGATTTGTATGAGAGAGTTGCCCAGAGGCTGTGAAAGTAGCTTATGCGATGGTAATTGTGGTTACCTTTGAATTCTTGAATGGCAACAGAATATGTTTGATTTAAGATTTTCAGTAGTATAACCCATGTAAAGTAGTCTCAGTGACCCGTCTGCAGGACCTCCTGGAGACATAGTAGGAGGAACTAGAAAACGAAAATACATTGCTTATGAATATTGGTAATACACTGATAAATTTTTGTATTAATGACAACATCAATACCAAACATCACGCCCTTCTTTTTTGCACCTTTTTCGTTATTTTGTAGGAGTGACATCCACTCGTGTCTATTCAAAAAAAAAAAAAAACTCATTTCTTAAAACTATTATATGTCTATTTTATTTACAAGAAATAGAAATGAGTTTGTTTGGATTAAGTTTTCTTTTATGTTTTTAACTTTAAAGAAATTGTAATAAAAGTCTTATAGAAAGTTATACATTTCCCCCTCAACAATAAAGACCCATGTGCTTTTGGTTGCTGATGTCAACCGCCTATGTTCACAATTCTTTTTTACACTTGTATAAATAATATTCCAAAATGAATTTTAATTATTCTGAAAGATCCTTCCATAATATTAAATTTTATTATGTAATATTGATGCTCAATTTAGAATAACAAAAAATCAACTTTAGATCATATATCCTACTCGCCAATCAATATTTTTTAAAATGTTTATAATCTAAAAGTCTTTTTAATACATTCGGGATAATATTTTTAATAAATATAAAAGGTCATTTTCATCATCGTACTATAATGAAAATATGCATGATTTTGGTGAAAATATAAAAGTCTATATTACATTTAGATACGTGTTATCTGTAAAGATGTAGATTAAAACCAACAAAAAGGATCTAGAAAATAGAGCTAGAAAATTAGATCTTAAGTTAATCATATTTACAAATATTAAAATCATATTTATTCTTAAATCACAACAGTGAAGAAAAATCAACAAAAGATGTGTACTAAACTAATCTAGCATAAGACAGAATAAAGGGGTCCAAATCTTGTTTTTATAACAAGAGATTCTTAGCTATATAGTATTAAAAAAAAAAAGTCCCATTGTAGGGAATATTTAAACTAGGGTATGACAATTAAGGTGTGGAGTTGGTATTAACTCTTGTACTAATACTGACAATAGTCAAAACCATAGGGACCACCCTCAGGAATATAAGTATCGTAGTAAAATGTAACAGGGTCGTAGTCGTAGTCATGTATGCTCACTGACTCCAGTATCCAACCAGCATCTCCACTCCAGTACAGGTGTAGATGGCAGATTTGGCTTGTACACGCTCCATATATGTCATATGTAATCGTAGTGCAATCCTCAAAAGAACCATGCAGTTGTGGAACATAAACCTATCAATCATCAACCACTCACAAACCATATATCTATATCAATTACTAACTATATTAACAATATATACACGAAGGGTAGCGCTTTTAATATATTAGGATAGATTTGAGACAGGAACATAGTGATTATGGTTAAAATTTGACGGGAGAGTAAGGACCTCATTGCCATGAACGTCCCCAAATAGAAGATTGATTTCCCCTCTCGCATAGAAACTAGAACTGCAACTTGTCTTTATGTTAACAATGTAACTACAACCCTCATCCATCTGCAACACGGTTACATAAATATTATATACGTTCTTCCTATCAATACAATTAGTTCATAGATGCAGGGACTAATGAAAAGTTTCTTCTTACTTGCTGTTGGGTTTGGTTGAGCTTGGAAGATTTGATGGCATGACGCTGAGTAACTTCTGGCGTTGCATGTGAGGAGGCAACCATGATGCTAAATGTGAGGAATAAAGTCCAATTAAGTGCATCCATTCTTTTGCTTTGTGCTGCAAGGAAAAGAGGGTGCTATATATTGTTGTTGAATGTCAATAAAATTTTATATGAATGCTTATGATGATTTGAAATTATAATTCCGTAATTTGATGTTATATGTATATAAAATATGCAAAAACCTTTGCTTTTCTGAAAGATCATTTCGTTCTATCTAATTATTATGTTTCTTAACATCATCGAAAACGAATTTTGAATGCTTATTTATAAATATTAAAATTGACGATAGAAGTGATTAAAATATTATTTCATCTGTTGAGTGAGTGACCTTACGAGGTGAGTTTATAATCATTCACTAGTATTAATACTTCAGGCTCTTTTCTGTTCATGGGCTACATTGATGGGCCTGGGCCCAAGACATTACAACGGAAATGTAGCGAGTCCTGTCCTGAAAAAAAAAAAAAAAACCCTAAACCTATGACAGAGTATTATTTGGTTCAAACTGTAATAGAAACCATGTAATTTCAATAGTTTCATTATTTTTTCTAAACGTGTGGGGCCCAGAGGAGAATGATAGAAGCAATGTGAAACGTGACAGTAATAGTGCACATGGCGAGAAGATTCTTCGATGCTTCCCATTTCCACTTGTTGTCTGTTCTTCTCCATTTCTGAATAATTGGTATCAGTTTCTGATGAAATCGCAGATAATGGAATTTTGGTATTATCATGAAATCCTTACTCACCCCTAACTTTTTTTTTTAATTATTTTATTTAAATCTCTGAAATTAACCACTTTCATTATTTTAATTTTTAAGGATATGTTAATATCATCTACTAAGTTGCATTTAAAAAAATTTTAAATTAGTGTAATTAACAAGTTAAATTTTCAAGTATTTTTTTAAAATTATTTTTGAGAACTAATATAATAAATTTGTATACTTCCAGTTGGTGTTTTGCCCGTTATTTTCGTAGTCGAATTCAAGTAAGATACATGATATTTTAGATTTTTTGAGCAAAATATCATGGAAGTGATGGATATCACATTAGTCTCTAAGTATTTTTGTGAATAAAATAGAATAGTGAAGAATTGTGGTTTACTGAAGTGCTCACAGTGCGATAGTTGAGAAAGAGAAACATGGTGTGGTGGGTTTTACTGTGAGGTGAGAATTGAGAAAGGTTGGTGTGGTGAGGCCACATGTCTGCACAAGGGCTTTTCTACAGGATGCTTCTTCTTCAATAAGGCTCTTACTCTGCAACTCAAATGGGGTTGTAAACTTCACACAACGGGATAACAAACACAAGGCTAGAGTGAACTCCAACTATCAAAATTCTTAGACATTGGAGATGTTGGATGTGATGTCTCTGAGTTATCCGTTCCAAACGTTATTACTTGGTTGTGTAACTACTCCTACTCGCAGATACTTTTGCAGGACAAGGTGGTGCCATGTGCAAGCCACACCCCCATCTTCAGTTATTTTGAATGCAGATGGAAGTGGGAAATTTTCTGAGAAGATTCATGCCACAAACCTTGCATCGGGAAGTGGTTCTCCCTTTGTCACTCAGGGAAGTGCTGTGGGTATAATTGGAGGGGTGTCTGTGGATGCCACTCTCACATTTTTGAGAAAACTCGTGGAGTTGAGTTCAGAAGATGGAGGGAATTCTATCCCTTTTGTTCTGTGTTCTGATCCTCTCTTGAGTAAGGAGCTTCTGTCCTTTGAAAGGAGTTATTTTGTTTCTAGCACAAGTAGAGTGGAAAACATGAAGCTGGATTCTTCTCCAATTGTGCAGAATCTTAGAAACAAGAGGGTTTTCCTTGAGAATTCTGGGGCCAGTTGCATAGTCTTGCCTTGTAATGTGTCACATTCTTGGTATGAACAAGTCTCCGAGGGGTGTTCTGTTCCTGTTCTTCACATGGCCGAGTGCGTTGCCAAGGAGCTCAAGGAAGCTAAGCTAAAGCCTCTTGAAGCCGGTAGTCCTTTGCGGATTGGAGTGCTTGCAACAAATGCAACTCTGGCAGCTGGTTTTTATAAAGAGAAGCTTCAGAATGAAGTAATTTCCCTATGCTGTTTTCTATAACCTGATATCTTAACTATGAAGCATATCTTATTACTGCACACTAGGCTTAGAGAAAGTAATAAATGACTCAGGGCAATGAAGTTGCACAGAGGAATGTCCATTACAGTCTTGCTTTCCACTGTATAACTTTCAGAACACACAATATGATCCAGTCCTGAAACAAATCCTTTCAAATTAGGTTATTTTCTTCTTACGAGTTTATGAGTATTGAATAACTGCAGCAGTTCTTATAGAGTTTGTACATGTTTGAACATATAAAATTTCATAACAATAATGTAACATGTGAAGGCCCAAGACAGTTCATTCTTACTCAAAACAGATTATAGGAGTGTGATAGATAGAAGTGATTGCTTGGGAGTATGATTTAGGGGCTGTTCAGAGAGTCAGTTTGTTAGTTAATTGTTCATATCATATCCATTAGTTTGTTGGACTGAGACAGAAAAGAATTTAGGCAGATTGCCTATAAATAACAGGAGCGGTGGAAAGAGAGAAGTGTCTTGTCATTTATGAGAGGGATGGGAGCCTTTGAGAATTGGGAGTTAGGCAGTTTTCTTTCTAGAATATGAGCCTGTTTCTATTAGGGGCATTTCGTGCTTTGTCAAATGTGAGATGCCTACATTAATGTTTTAGCACTTCATGACCTCTCAATTTCATATTCATTTACCTTTTTTATTTCCTTGGGCAAATCAAATCTACGTAAATTGCTGGCAGCTTTGTTTCTGTTTGGCAGGACTGTAAGTTTGCAATGAGTAGATAATTTGTTTGTATTGTTTACTTTTTTCTCAACTTTAGTCAACAAGTGCCGACAACAATTCTAACATGCTAAAATAAAAGCACTGAGACAGTATTTTTTTTTCATGATTCATTAAGATCCACTTTCCTCATATATTTCCTGTGTCAAAAAGAACTTCTAGATCATTAAACTTTAGTCCACCCGATATTTAATCTCTAGTTGTTGGTTCAAATGAATCAGTAGTTTACTATTGGTTTGTTATCATGGCAGTTGGAACACAAACAACCTCAGGAGGTGGGAATTTTTATCCATAATCTTTCCTTTGAAAATATTGTACAAGATCTTAATCTTTTCTTTGTAACACAGTACAGCATGAACTATCAGGAGCTTTTGCTTTATATGTTTGTTGCTTCTCATCTGGTTTAGTTTTATTCGCACATCTTCCTACATGAAGAATAATCTCTGGGCATATAAAGTATAATTAAACCTTCATGATTAAGATCATGAACATTGAAAGAATTCTACCTATCTACGTCTTTATTCTACTCTAGTTCTATTAGACTACTATGTCTATCCATAGCTTCCCATAAATATAGTTCTCACAGTCATAATTTTTGTTATTAAAAATTAGAATAACCACTTGTGAAAAACTTCTTTCTTTTTTTATTCATTTCGTAAGAACCAAATTCTTGATATCACTGATAGAAATATTTAGGATTTTTCGTGTATGTGTATTGTTGATATATGATGTAGTGGAGTTTATCTCTCATATGTGTATCTTCATATTTTATTTATGCACTTATATACTTTATATATAAAAAGGGTAAAAATATAACAAAATATTAAATATTAATAATATCTTAATCATAACTACTTAAATCAAAATAATATTGTACTATCTTTTTCTCTTATTTTAAATAATATAAAAATTTCTTAATATCTGATTTAAATAAAAGATAATAAAACAATATTCTCAAAATATTATGACTGTGCACTGCTGAGTTACCACTTGCCACTGCTGCTAAAAACCTGAATGGCATCTGTCAATATGTTCATGATGAATTCTGTATTTCTGCGCCTGCACATCAATTTTTTGTTGGTTTTGCAATTTTTTATTTTCTTGTTTATGAACAAGGAGTTGATTGCCAATGGCAAGTATGTACATATATATAATGGCACTAGTTGTTTTTCACTTTTTCGGCAATGTTGAATTGGGATGACAATTGACAAGCAATAGAGATTTGGATATTTGTTAATTTCATTTACTTATATTTAGGGGTTTGAGGTTGTACTGCCTGATAGAGCAACAATGGAGCATACTGTGATACCTGCGATTGAAGCTTTGAACAGAAAGGACATGGAAGGGGCATGCAATCTATTGAGAATTGCACTTCAAGTTCTTTTGGTGAGAGCAGCAAATTCTGTTATTCTTGCTTCTGATGATATGCGGGACCTCTTGCCCCCAGATGATCCTCTTCTCAAGAAATGTGTTGATCCAATGGATGCATTAGCCAGGTCAACTATGAAATGGGTAAAATCCTCTGGGCATAATACATGAATAACAAAAGAGAGCAACTACTTTATTTCATTGTGTATCAATATTCTTCTGATTTCATTGATATTGTTCATTTCATTAATGCAAACTCTTGTATTCAATAATACTGTAATCATGCTGAAGATGGACTTGGAGTATCAGAGCATGTATTCCTTTATATTCATGGGCAAATCAGTGTTATTTGAGCTTTCAAAGTTTTTTTTTCCTTATTTTTTATTTTGTTCAAAAGGAGGAGTCGAACTTTAATACTATGTAGCAACAACTCATTTATATTTAGACATTGTGTGTTTGTGTGTGTTTTTTTAATCTTATCTATAATTTGGTGATAGTGCCGATGACAAAAATAAAGCAAGAAAGTGAAACTATGATAATATATATTACTAAGCGCAGTAATGTAAAACCTATAAAAAGGCCTTCCTTTAGATTATGTAGCTTTTATATATATATATATATATATATATATATATATATATATATATATATATATATTTGGCTCAAATGATCGTCACTGATGATGTTACGGCTAGACTTAGAGTTGGAAGGATAATGATAGTGTTCATCATTCTTGATGTTCTTTCTATCGTTTGCCATGTTTTGTTTATTTCATCGTGTTACCTAATGGCTGGCAATTGAGGCTGAACAGGGAAATTTCAAAAATGAAAGCTTAGAGGAGGATGCAAATGCTTTGTGGATTATTTTGTGTAGGAGAGGAACTGTATGTCACTCATTGTCCCTTTTATTGCTTTGGTGTAAGAACGAACCCCTTCGGTCTTGAAGACTGCTCCAATGCTTGCTAAGCTATCACTGCATATTCTATACAGGGAGATACAGGAAGAGCAGAGAAAGAGTGTGATAAAAATGGTAATGCGATGGAAAGAAATACAGAAAAATAGTGCATGTGTAGAAAGTGTAAAAATACATTAATCATATTTCAAGAACATTCTTACCACAATTTTATGAAAACTAAAATTGTTATTTTATTACTGATTAAATATTATGAAAACTAAAATACAGTGGAATGAAAAACAGTTATAAAGTTTTTATATTTTACTCTTTTTTATTTTATAATAAATATATAAGGGTAAATGAATTAAAGATTAGATGAAAATGAAGAAAAAATAATTAATGTTATTTTGAACTTAAAAAAAAAATTCAAAATTCAGTGATTAAAAAAAGAGTTAAAAAGTGAGCGACATGGCTAAATTACTATTTGTAATGGTGAAAAGGTCTTTGCAGAGGAATTTATGGCGGTATTATATCGTCTTTTGAAACTTGAACTGTCTCAATATCAGTCAATGTCATGAATCATAAAAGGTGGGCTATGCTCCAGCAGTGCAAAACAGAATATGCAGTGGTTATGATTTCAATTTCTTTGAAACCACCTTCATCTTTTTAGCCAATATTATTTTCGTTACTCCTAGGGTGAAGAAGGGCCATCGACATAAATGTACTAACGCATAATAGTATCATACGTCAGGCAGGCTTAAAGAGTTCTATGTATTACAATATCTGGAGATACACTGAAGAATATACTCTATAAAAGAAAAAGGTAAAAATTAAACCGAACCGTATTCCTCAAAACAAATTCGATCAGACTGATTCTTGAGTTTTTTACACCCTTTAACAGAAATTGCTTAGTTTTCAGTCTATCTAGTCCATCCAGTTTTTCAGTGGGGTAAATCTGGAATCCAATCACCATAGATGCCATCGACCTTTTCAAGTTTGTTTTCCTTGAATACGAACTTCACAGCATATGGGTCCTTGTTTTGGGAAGAGCTAGTTCCCGGAGTGCTAGTTGTGGCATTTGTAGCAGCAGCACCAGCACCAGCAGTAGCACCAGCAGCACCAGCACCAGCAGCATCAGATTGGATTGTCTTATTTTCTGCAGAAGGGTAGCTATCACTGGGAGCAGCTGCAGAAGTTCGCATTCTCTTGTATTCCGCGGAAGAGAAGCCATCAAGTTTCTCTACTTCTGCATCACAAAAACAGGGGTTAGAAGTTATTAACATGGACATTGTTCCATGTTCTATTGACTCAAAATGCCATGCAAATATTTTAAAATATAGAGTAAAAAACAAACTCAACAGTTTTGTTCATCAAAATGAAAAAAAGAAAAAGAAAAGTATCTGGTCTCAATTCTTTCCAAAAGGAAAATAGAATTTTTTTTTGTTGGACCAAAATATTTTTTCTCACAAAGATGCATCCATACCTGATCAAGATTGCAGCCTTTGTGAGCAAAGACTTATTTCAGCGCTATTGTATGGGTTGACTAATGACTAGTGGTGTTCAAAATTAAACCAAACCACTTATATATCAAATTCATTAAAATAAATTGAAATCCTATCAAACCAAACAAGAAACCGAAAAAAATAAAACATATTTTGTGTGCGATTTCATGTATAAACATTTTTTTTTCATATGTACTATTCAAGATGACAACAATCAATATACATACATTAACTAAATTCAATCTCCTTAATAATTAGTATATGATCACTGATCGATAATGAATAGTCTATACTGCATTTTTTTTATCAAAGATTTCTAAAGCATTTATTAGAACATGTAAATGAGGAGTCCCACTTTTATTATTTATAATTCTGCAAATGTCATTTTCAAAAGTTGTTCAATACTCAATTATATTTCCTATATTTTACTTAATCTTGTCATTATGAAATTAAAACGATGTTAACCAGTATAAATAATTTTTTTTTAATTCTTAGTCAAATAAAAAAAATTAATTGGATTTATATTTGACATAACTCGAAAACCTACTCAAATTTGAATAACATTAACCAAATTGAGCCAATCTGATCTTCGACATTTCAAATACAAAATTATTACATGATCGGATATTATCACGTTAGAGTGTCAAACAATTTTCAAATATCAGATAATTGATATTCAAACTAAAAGATTAATAAAATTCGATTACGTGTCGTATCATGACGAGAAGAATTATCCGTATCATAATTACATTATTCAATCATATAATAAATTAGGTAAACTTTCACAAAATATACTATTACGAAAGAGGTAGAGTACTAGAATTGTGTTCTTGAAGGTGGTAACACGAAGATCTAGTACATGCAACACCAAAATTATTTAATCCTGGAACCGCAATCGTCGCCATAGAATCGCAACGCGTAATTAAACAATTAATAGATCTATTTACATTGCTGTGATGGTAGAATTAAGAGAACCTGGTTGAAATTGTGGATTTGGGATTGGAAAAGTTGACGGTGGTGGCATTGGTGTGGCTGAGTCGCTTCCTGGCGTGGCTGAGTCGCTTCCTGGTGGGGCTGAGTGCAGGAAGCGACAGTTGCGTCCGTAGGAGCATTGTTGGGTTTGAAGGAACAATCTGCATAGTTTGGGTTGGCGTCGGAGCTCCGCAACGCTGTGCGCGTAATCGCATTTGGCGCCATGATTGCACACGCCTCTCCTGAATCTCTTGCACATCTCAGTCTTCAACATCAAGTTACGATGAACATTGTTATTCTTATTATAATAGTTCTTATTGTTATTGCTTTCTGATTCTGTTGTGTTCTTGAAATGTGACTGTCCTCCTTGTTCCTCCATCTTCACTTCACACCAAATGCACCGTTCTTGATCCTAGATGGTCAAACGCGCACTGTACTGAATGAAATGAGAGAATGAATACCAAGAGTCGATTCTGCTTTGTACTGCACATATGCATGTACTATACTTCTTTCTTCTTGACCTCTTTCCACACTCAATCCCGTAGCAAATGAACTACTCACTTGAGAAATGACAAAATACCCTCCCACTTGTATATATATCTTATGGGCTCTGGGCTTCAATCTCGGTTTCACATTCCAAAGTAAAAAATTTCGATTTTCTTGTTTACACTCCCACAATTGATATTCATACATCCCTTTTTCTTTTCATAAATTTACTTCATTACCCTTTTCTTTTTCCTCTCCAATCCTATCCTTTTTTACACTTTACATCCAATACTATGTGACGAGTGCACGTATTTATCGATTTCTCGCATGGGAATCATGTTTAATCACAAAATTTTCATTAAAGTTTAACATAATAATATTTTTATTTACTTTTTAGACAAGACAAATAAGAGGGGAATGTAATAAAAAGAGAGGCTAGTGAGGTTAAATCTTTTCGGGAGTATGTAAGGGAATGGCAAAATGAAATCTTCAAAAATGAAAAAAGACAACATTTAAATAATTTATTTTAAAGTATAATTAAACCAACTAAAAATATTTTTTTTAGCATAAATTACCATATCCTTAGCTTAAATAAGTTATAAAATTATAAAGTTTTCATATTATCTAATATTTTTTACTAACATTCATCAATTTAAATATTGTCTAAAATTTTATGGAGTGCTTTCAAATTTTATAAGTGTATTAAGTTTAAAATGTACAAATAGATTGTAAGAATGAATTGAGAAAGAGGACATCTAATAATTAAAAGGAATAAATGTAGAAATTGAGAAAGACATATTATGGAGATAGAAGAATAATTAATGAGTTTTTCGAAGAAGTCAAAGCACCAATATCAAGAATTAAGGAATTAAATAGTGAAGAACATCGAAGTACAAAGAAACAATATATCGAAAAAACAAAATATCGAGAGAAAGTTATAGTGGAGAATCTTTAAGTTAAGAATGAATTGAGAAATGAGATATTTAATAATTAGAAGGAATAAATGTAAAAATTGAGAAAGACATATTATAGAGATAAAAGAATAATTAGTATGAGTTTTTCGAAGTCGTTAGAACATTAGATGTTGGGTATTTCCAGAGAACTAACGACATCACCTTCAACCCAAAACCTTAAGATATTAAATTATGAGTCTTTCTCATTTATAAGTTACTCTACTTTCTCACTTCTACCAAGGTGGGACTTCAAATTCACATTTGAATTTTGAACCAGAGAAGCGGTTGTAAGAAAATAACTAGATTTTAATTTATAGTTACAATTACAAAAAACAAACAAAATATATATATATATATATATATATATATATATATATATATATATATATATATATATATATAAGAGGAGATAAAACAAAGAAAACCAGGGTGATTATTAAAACTTATATTCTGAAAAGTACTACTAATTAAGAATAAATATTTTCAATAGAATATTTTACAATTTGTATAATCACTTTTAATGATTTTTTCTTTCAATTCCTGTTTTATCTTTGATAATAAGTTAAATTTATTTTCCTTACACATTTACTTTTAAACAATTTATTTTACAATTTTTTACTATTATATTAAATATAAAAATTGAATATAAACAATCTTTAATTAAAATTTATTATGTATTAAATTTTAAATAAAATTAAAAATTCTTGCGTAAACTTATTAATTATAACTAAAAACAAATGGTATGAAATCCTTTTCAAATCTTTTAAAATTTTGAAATATTCCAACATTTCAAAAAATATATTACTGTATAAATCTAAGATTGTTATATCATAATCTTTTTAAAAAACGTAAGTTTTTCCTTGCAGAAAGTGACGGCTTCGATCAATGTTTCATTTTTTTTTTCTAGTAAATCATTTTCAAATACAAACCCCAAATGTCAAGAGCGTGAGCGAGAGGTAACTGAGTCACTTAGAGAAACAGGAAAGTATGAGAAAACAAAGTTGTTTTTAGTTTATTCATGTCTTCGCTATGTAAAACAAATACTGAAAGTAAACCAGCTATGGACCACAGGAACTAAAAGTAATGAAGCATTCGCATTAGTGAATTACAGCATGGCTGGCAAGATTGTGTTTCTTTTCAAAAAAATTCAACCTATTGAAGCTTCTTTATTCCGGGAAATGATGGCAATATTGCAACAAGTGCGTCACCATATCCAACAGGATCTGTAAAAGACCAAAAAGAAGAGTCACCACACAATACTAGTCCTGTCTTTGGGCAGAAATTAAATTAAATTGATTGGGGAAACTAACCACCGTCCTGTCGCAGTATCTTGATGACCTCTCCGGACACATCAGACTGCAAACATGAGAGTCATCATATATCATAATCATTTGCCCCTTCTCAACATCATATCACAAACATGAGAGCACAAAAAACTTGGAAGAGTCAGGACACAAACCTCAATAGGCAGCTGACCACCAAGTTGTTCAATGTAACAAATCACTTGCCCCTCCTCCACATTTTCTTTCTGTCAATTGGCACACAACTTCATAAAAAACTCCAAGCCAAAAACATATTAATAATTAACGAATTTTTGTGATGTTGCGCAACAGGCAACTACAAGCCTTGTTTTCAAGATATCCCAACTGTGATCATATGTTTAATTGCCAACACTCAATACAGATTGAGATAGGGAAATCATGAAAAAAATAAATTTTACAAGTTGTATATTTCTCTATAGCCTCACAGGGTGGGTGGGTATGAGTAAGATAACAAGATTCCCCAATAATAGGAAAAAGAAAAGCCATGAACAACAGTACCTCTTTACATGAGGGTGGAGCACGCTTCCCCTTTATTGTTCGTGATGTCCTAAAGAATCCCACCTGTTTATGGTTTTAGAGTGCATTAAGTAAGGGATGTAAAACTGTTAAGTACAAGTTTCAGATTCTTACCTTTGGAGATTGAATTATTACTAAGCCTTCATCAGCAGCTTTGTCTATGAATGTCTGGATAGACCCTGGAGAAGGTACTGGGTCTACCGGCTTTGAGAGGGCCAATGAAGTTGTAGAAACTGATCCATTTGTCTTGGGAGTTTCTATGACATTATCTCTACTTACAGAAGCAGGGATAGGAGGAGGTAAAGTTGTATTCTTTTTAGTCAAATCCCTCACTACATGCAGGTGAAACCCAGCAAGCTGATATCATTTGGAGGTTAGGCAGATGACAATGAAGAGAGGAAACGACAATAAGATGCAAGTCCAAGATAACATATCTAATGCCATTATGAGAGAGAAGTTGAATAAGATTGTCCTAATGAAGAGATCAAAAAATTCAACTTCATTGTACTTACTTTCAATTCTATCTCCGCAATTGAACTTGAGTCACACAATTTTGTGAGCAGGAACTCCACCTACAAAGAATGTCCATACATATAGAAATCCATGACTTCAAATTTTCCATTCATGAAGAGTAAATGTAGAAACTAAACTAGACTTGTGCGTTACAATGTGACATATCTTGTCAAGATTCATAAAATAGAAGTTTTTCAAGCATGGCATAACTTCAGAACTAACAGATTAAAATAATTATTTAACACAGCCAAGTAAAGAAAATCACAAAAGTATCCACATAAATTTCTGTAATCTAGATTTTAAATAGTTTTCTATTTTCTTGGGGGCGGGGGAGGGGTGTTATATCAAATGAAAGGTGGGATGTAGGTCAAGCCTCAGGAGTTAGGATGTTAAACATATGATGGGTTCATAGGCTTGGAGACAAACTGTAGTTTTATACTGGCCTGCGCTTTACCAGTTTAATCACAAAGAGATTAAGGTCCAGAACCTTAGTTTTCCTTTTTCTTGGGGGCGGGGGAGGGGTGTTATATCAAATAAAAGGTGGGATGTAGGTCAAGCCTCAGGAGTTAGGATGTTAAACATATGATGGGTTCATAAGCTTGGGGACAAACTGTAGTTTTATACTGGCCTGTGCTTTACCAGTTTAATCACAAAGAGATTAAGGTCCAGAACCTAATGTAGAGCAAGATTTCAAAGTAAGAAGTGGCCAATTTTAGACAAAATCTATACAGGCAACATTTGCTATAAAATATATCTTAAATTTGGCCTAATGAACAAATAAGGTAATAGACAAAAACAGCATAATAAAGTCATCACAAATTTGCATCTGTTTATAGATGATTTCCCCTGACAAAATGAAAAGAGAAATAGATGAATAAACAATGGGATTTTCCAAATACTAACCTCATTGAAATTAGGAATAAGCTGACTTGTCAAGTCTGAAGATTTAATCTCTTCGGAACCTTCTTCCGGTCTTAATGTAACTGTTATGTAATCATTTAAACTATGTTATAGAAGCCAGACAATGCTACAAATATCAAGTTAATAGTCTTTACCCTGAACAAACTTCAAATCGATTGCTTTATATGTTTTCTTAAATAGTTCCAGTTTTACACAAAAAGTAAGTCAGAAAATTGAATCAGATTACAAAATGCACAATCGTATCAGTATTTTCATCAAAGAATCCACGACTAAAAAAATCCTATAAATAATACAGTTATGAAAATTTTCCAAAAAATAATAGTACAAGTTCCTGCCCAGTGTCACATATTCCTTGTAATTATATCACAGCAAATTGCAAACTAGTATAAGCACTTCGCAATAGAAGTTTCTCAGATTCTTTATAAAAAAGCTTTGCCCTCAGTAGAGAAATATAGAATTAATTAGTATATAATTATACAAAAAGATCAGAATGAAATTCTAATATATTTGTTTGATATACAGAATGAAGTCATCATAAAAAAATCGTTCCAAAAGCTTAAGCTTTTGATTAAAGTACAATAATGGCTTTATGTGTATCACATCCCCACATGCCAGAGCCCTTTGCCCTTTGAACAGTGGACAATGCAAAGACTTATAGTGTGTTAGCATACAACTTGTTTTAGAAGAACTGGAGGGGCAGCAAACATTGAACTCTAAACCACTTGGCAACATAGGCTCTAACACCATGTCTCAAACCAACTACCTAAAAGCTTTAAGCTTTTCGGTTTAAACACATGAATGATTCTTTGTCAAACAGAAATAACAAGATCTGAATGTGTGTGTAATATCATACACATATAATAGGACATCAATATGCAAGCCAAACTCACCAGATTACTTCCAGAACCCTAGTTGATGTTAAGAAATTTAATAGGCTATACGACAAAAAATAAGTATAAAATCAAAGAATAGAAGAACTTACACTGAGACTCTAACGATGGGTCATTGGATGATGCTAAAAACCTATCTGTCTGTCGTGACATAACCAAACTAGTATACTGTAGTGACTGCCTTCTCCAGCCTCTTGTACCAACTTGTTGTGAAAGGCCGACATTTTTTCCACAAAAGTGCAAGTTGAACACTTTAATATTTGGGGTACCTAAGCTACCTGTGATAGAATTTATGACATGATAACCATCAGTTTTGGGGGGTACATAACCATTTAGTAGTCTGAAAAGAAACACCAAATTCTTTCATAATTTGCATGATAAGTATCCAATATGTCAAGAAACATACAATGATTGAAGAATAAAGAAAAGTTTCTTTAAAATGTTACAAAATTTGTCAAATGCATATGTAAGTGATGCTCTGATTAGTAGAAAACAAAATCACAACAAAAAAAAATACTGTGCTGAAATCAAACAGAAAGATACTCAACAAGAAACAAATTATAGAATTTTCTAATAGATTCTTAGACTACATAATGTAACTTTGGCAAAGTTTATAATGAATGTAGCAAACATAATCATGGTGCTGAAAACGTATCATTTTCAACATAATCATGATTATATTTTACACACAAAACTGCTAGAAGAGGAGACATGTATTCTTTGCATTCACACTCATTGTGACCAATGTTTGTTTTTCAGAAATCAATCATAGTTATGTCTATTTATTCCATTAATAGACCGTCTGTAAGGCTTAGAACAATAAGCCCGTACATAATCCTCACTCAAAGAACAGTTATCAATAGGATCACAAATTAAAGGGCAAGAAGAAATATCTGCCACAATCTAGAAAAAGAATAGAGTTGAACTATTGCAATATCATTATCTAAGGAAAATGAAATCTAAGGTTCAGTCATGAAATGAATATGCCAAGCAGCCTAACTGCCCTCCCAGACTATATAAATTGTATAAATCGAGGTACCTTTTTCCTATTTCAAGGATACTAAAAAGGACAGAGTTTTGTTGTCAACATAATCCAAACATTTTTCAAATACCCTCTCCGGCCTCAAATATAAATAAAACTAATGCCTTGAGTGTTGGTCTAGAATATAAGGCTTATAAGCACATCTTAACTAATTTTACTTCATTTAATCATTTCTTACGATGCCTTTATTCAATTGAGAATAATTACTCTTTTTTATCCTTGATATCAAGTTTTTAAAAAGTTTAGTTTACAAAAAATATGACTTTCTTAAATGAAACTAGAGCAATTAAATACTACTAACTTCATTTCTTAATTAATGTGAAATAGAGTTTTCTTTTTTGCTTATATTTGAAACTGGAAAGAGTATATCTTACCATGGACATAACTAACTCAAAAAATAAGAACTCATAAGTTTCAAAAACAAATACAATATCAGGTTCAAAAAATTATTACAAAATTACAACTCAAGATGCTGCTTATTGAAATATTTACATTGTAAAAATAATTGCAAGACATCATGGTGAAGGATACAGCAATTTACTAATTTAACATCAATCTGACACCTATAGCATTGAAAAGAAGCTGGGATTAATACAATTACCATGTGCTAAACCCATCACATTAAAATTAAGGTAGAGCGTCACTACTCGGTACAAAGCAAATATAATATCACTAAACCAGCAACGACCATGTTAGATAACCGAAAACTTTATCTCAAACCCATTTTCCTATCCAGTTTCGGAATCACATTTCGCATTTCATATCCCAGCCCAATCCCCATATTGCAAAGAAAAGCACATGCAAAACATAAAATAATGGAAACGGCCCCTATTGGAAGTAGCAATTGTAATCTGTAATCGACCGAGTAGATATAATAGACAAAAGGAAGACTCACATGAAGCCATTGGAAGCGTGAAGCAGAAACTGTTTGTGATTGTCTCGGAAAAGGGTAAAGGGTTGAGAAATGAAGAAGGTAAAAAAGAAAAGAGAAGAGAAGAGCGTGATGTTCTTGAAAGTTGAAAGAGTGAGTGCCAAGAAGATGACAGAGTAATAACAAGAGCAGCTAAACAACCACATCACCAATACCTGACATGGAATGAATGAGGATCGATGGTTACAGCTGGATTTTTTTTTATTATTACCATTTTTATTCTCAATTTTCACTAAATTTCATGCCTCTTTAACAATTGTATCTACACTTTTAATGCGATATTGATTAATTTATTAATTGACTAATTTATTAATAATTGATAATTAACTAATTTATTGATTGATAATTAATTAATAATTAATTGATATTAATAATTTTGACAACATGTGTTATGTGTTCAAAATAAAATAATTAACAAAATATTTCATAAAAAATAGAAAATCAATATTGCTATAAACCAAAATAATAAAAAAATCAGCAAATATTTTATATTTTTATAAAAATTATATATATATATATATATATATATATATATATATATTTATATAATACAAATTCGTGTAAATTAGTACAGTTAATAAACTAACAAATAAATAATTTATAAACTAAGAGTTGAAAGATGTTAATTAAGTGTAGTCCTAAGTTAGGAGTGAATGGTATAGTTGAAATAATGAAAAGATAGATAGAATACTAAATATCATTTAAATCATATAATAAAAGACAAAAAAAAAAAATTGAATTAAAAGATTCAAACACTAAATATCATTTAAATGATGGTATTTTCAATACATATAATTTCATACATATAATTTGATATATTTTTCCTTTATATAAAAAGTGTTATTTTATGCTACATTTAATTTCATTATCAATTCAAATGGTTTTAACATAAATATCAAATTCCATAATAAAATAAATTCTTAAAAATGTTAATTAAGAATAATGATTAATTTTTAATTACTTATTGAACTATAATATATATATATATATATATATATATATATATATATTCAGTTTAAATGACAAAGAATTTGATAAGTTGAGAAATTATTTTATATTATAAATTAATTAAAAATTATTTTAAATATATAATAAAGGTTAATAAAATAATCATATTTGAAATAATTAGGTGATTTTAATGTAAATATTTTTTTCTTTTAAAAAGCGTGCAAGAATTTCTTACAAATGTAATGAAAAACTATTTTATTTGAGTAAAGTATAAGTAATAACATGCACTATAAAATTAGTATGATAAAATACTATGTTAAAAGTGATATGCATTATCTAAAATTCAATTTTATCAAAAAATTAAAATCACTCTTAAATATTAAAACATATGTTACTATGTTATAACTTATAACTTTTAATACTCTTTTAGACAGTGACACTTTCATTCTCCAATCATTTAAACATTTCACTCAAATTTAATTTAGATTCCTGTATTTTACAAAATCCATAATTCTGAGTCCATTTTTTTCCAACTTTACTCTCTTGTTTTTTTATTTATTACTAGTTTTGATCTCTGGACACAATTTTAATCCTTTAATTTTTAATTATTATAAGTTTTGTTTAGTTTCAGTTTTCAAAATATAGTTATTTTTAACACATTACTTTTTATTATTCAAGCGCTTGTATTGAAAAAAAAATCTTGTCTTTATTGTACTTATTGTTCTAAAAGAAATAGTTATCTATTTTTAAGAAATCATTTTTCAAATATGAACAAAATATTAACTTAAAAAAAAATCTAGTGTGTCACATATCTTACCTTTAACAAAAAGATTTATTGAAAAAAATAATTTCTTAAACTTAAGAAATTAGAAAAAAAATTGTTAAAGATGCTTTGAGAGAATGATTTTCGATAATAACAGTATTAGTTTATGAAGCCATAAAATAAAATTCGTCTTCATTTAAGAAAACAAGCACCATACAATAAATGAAGTCTCAAGTCCAAATACACCAAATAAATTTTAAACTACTAAACAAATATGCTTTAATTCATGTGGTAAATCACAAAAGTAAGGGATGCAGGTTCTCCTTGCAACATGCCATTTAAATCACTGTTTTACAGAATTCAAATGTCTTTTACACCCAGAAGTTGTGAGAAATCTTGCAGAATCTCTTGTCTCTCCTTGGCTAGGATCCCTAACACAAAACCACCAGCATTTTGATGAGTACTGCCTCTAGTTTTTTATATAGTTTCTTCATAAGACGTCTAAATTTCTTCAGTATTGATTGCCACACCACATTAGAAAAAAAAAATTACTTTTAGGTAGAGTGACCAATTATGTAAAAGGAAAATTAAAAGAATCAATAATTCTGTTAGTTTTATCAATAACTAGAAGAAAAACATAAATCAATGACAGCTTTTATATCATCAACTAAATTAAGTAAATTCTTAAATTCTTGTAAGGTTGCTAGAATGGAATATGTGTAATGATATGCCAAGACTGATATACTTCAGAACAGAAGTTGTAATGCTAATAAATGGGGAATATACCTTGGATGATTAATTTCTAGTGCGTGCCCCTTGGAGCAGAGCATTTAAAACATTCCACTCTGCTAGCGAAGTTGTGTTCATTGCATCCTGATCTGTAGACAGTGACAAACAAAAAATTTAAAATCATGTTTTGTCATGACAAGAAACACTAGTACAGTTTTAGTTGTACCTGTTTAAATAGAAGAGTGAAGTGAATCTTATCTTTATTATGGCTAGAAAAATGGGTGCAAAGTAGGGACACAAAGTTTTCAAAGTATGCAACTCATAAAGGTAGTAAAGGAAAGTGGAACCCAACAAAAATCACATTGCAAGCCTATAAAGCCAATGCTGCCTTTTGCAACTGTGCTTTTCCATAAACTTCAAAGACAGCAGCCAAACTAAAAGCACAGTTTGTCCCTCGGAAGGAATCAATAATCAAAAGATGTTGGTAATGTCATGCTATACTGCTCAAATGAAACTTTAAATATGATTGGAGAACAATATTCATAATATTTATAATATTACATCAAAATTTTGTTAAAAAATCTAGCAAATATCTATTGAGTCATCACCTGTTGCATATCCAATCACCAGACTTCCATCCAGGTCTCCCAGCACCACCAGAGGTTCTTGAGCTTGAACTGTCAGCAGCAGCTAACTCGTTCTTGAAAGCACCACAGTTGAAACAGCTTGTCCGGCTAGCAAAGTTATGAGCAGCACAGTTAGATGCATCACAGTACCAGTCACCTGGTCGAACATTTGACTCAGTACCAAACCCAGATGGTGATCCTCCAAAACCACCATAATCCTTCCCCTCTCCACCTTTTAAATCCCCACAACGTTGGCAAGACTCGCGCCTCTGAAAGTTGAGGTGCTGGCATGACCTGCAGTTCCAGTCTCCTGCTCTGCTCATCATTTCTTCTCTGCACGCTATTCTTACTAACCGCAATTTCCATGTTACAACATTATGAAACAAGTAATAAAAATCAAACTTCATAGAGTTTCAGTACTAAAGCATTGCAAATTTTCAAACACCACATATGCAAATCTTTGCATTTTGCATGTGGACTAAAGTACTACCTTTCTAAATAGCATTCTTTATAAGAAGAAAAAAACAAGTTAAAATTCATTAAAAAGAGAGGGATCACATGCATGCTGACTAGAGTTTTACTTATCAACATACATACCAATCCTCCTTGGGACATTTAATTAACTAGAGAATAATACAGACATGCATGTAGTCTTGGAAGAGTGAGGAGGGGGAATAGAACTGAAAACTACAAAGACCAACCTGAAGATGATACAACACGAAAGTTGAACTAACTATATAATCCTAACAATGAGTGAATCTGTGATGATGAGGAAGATGGTTTATATAGCACGAGAGGCCACAGAAAAAGAGAATAAATGGAGTGTGCGCAGTACTTTTTGATAAATGGAATCGGTGAATTCTAAAAGAGGAAGAGAAAAAGGAAAAGAAAATCATGCATGCTACAATTCCAAAGAAAGGATACTTTGATTTTTGAACAAGATTTCATGCATGAAAATATGGTACTAGATCTAATGTAAGTGGAGTACATCATAGGATGAAAAAAAGAAAGTTATTTTTACTCCAAAATCAGAAAGAGACGGTGGAAGAGATACTCTTTCTCCTTTATCAATCTTTTCTCCAAACCAAGGATGGTTAAAGTTAAAGGCATTTCTGTACAAGCACAGAAGGAGCACTTTAATTTCAAGCATGATCTTTCACCACCATGGAAAGGGAATCCAAATTTCCAAATCTTGGAATTTGTGGTCTTAATGCATGGTGAACTGTTATGTTTATTGAATTCATTTTTTGACTTTTCAAAGTTTACATTCAACTTTAGTTTAATTGACACCTGAATAAATTGTTTACTTAAACGCACTTTTATGGTATAGAAATATTATTATTATTATTATTATTGAAGTATATTTATGTTTAATTTTTTTATTCATTATTAGTGTCATACAATATCTTAAATATGACTTTACAAAACCATTTAATCATTGAAAAATCTATAACAAGATGTTAGAGTGAGTCTTGAGGTCACCACGAGTGGAGACCGTTCAACTCGACTCACTTTATGGTGCATCAGAATTTTCATTATCTGACAAAACTCTAACTCATTAGTTCATATTTATTTTTCTGTTCTTTAAATTTTTTTTTCTAATTACCACGATTGAAGTGGGAAACTAAAATGTAATGGTGAGATGACATGACAAATGCTCTAACGCGATTGAAACACGACAAATACTCTGGTGTGACAAACAAACGTTGTGGTATGACTAAATTGTGAGACTGGAATGTAATGATGCAATGGTGTGATAAACGTTGTGATGCAACTGAAATACGACGACGTAGCAAACGCTGTGGTGTGGTGACGCAACAAATATGATGGCACAGTGGTGGGATGGACGAATGGCAAGCGACTCAGGTGTATTAACGAACGTAGTAGTGCAACAGAATACTAAGTTTAAGTGAGAATTTAACTTATAACGACAGTGCGAAGTAAAGATGAAAAGATAGAATAACATTAATTAGATTTTTAAATTAATATAATTATTTTTAAAATTTAAAATGAATAATAAATTGGAAGTCAACCCACTATATCCCCGACTCAAATCCATTTAACTCGTAGGTTAAGTGAGTCAATTTTATTTTTAGTCTATTATCGATAAAAATAAAAAAAATCAAATCTAACCTAACTCAAATTCATGATGAGTCATGTTGACTATTACAACTTATATTAATATCCTTGTATTTAACACAATTTAACAACTATAGCACATAATTAAACAACTTTACAATAAAATACAAGTAAAAGTTGAAATTTAGAGTATGTATATAAGCAATTAAGAGGAGTGTCTTGATAAAGTATAAGTTGTTTGAATAATTTTTTATTAAAAAAACTTAGTTAGTATCGTAAGTTGTTTAAAATAATTAAAAATTATTTCATTTAGTCAATTTTGTTTGTGATTGAAAATAAAATAAAAAATTAGGAAAATAATTTTATCAAATAATTTTTTTAAAATTAAATATTATTGTGTATTATAAAAAGTTAATATTTTAAAAATATTATTATGATTAATAAATATTATTATATATTATATTCAAGTCTAAATAAAAAAATATATAAAACATAAGTTGTTTGACGTTTTATTAAATTAGATATAAATTGTTTCAAAATGAAATGGGAGAATCAAATTAATACTTTAATTTTTCCATGCGTTAGCAACACTTGTTATGCATAAAGTTTATTTATTAGAGTTCACTTGTACATAAAAGACTTGTTATTTCATCTAATTTTTGTCGAATCCAAAATAACTGACAATAAAATGCAGTGATATTTTTGTAAATAAGAGATGTGACTAGTACTTCAAACCACACAGGAATCGAGCGCAAAAGTTTTCGAGTGATGACAGCGCCATCGACCATTCCTGCTCCTCCCAGTGTACATTTTAACCACATTGAGTAACCACACTTACATTGTCCCATTTGCGGTGGTTAACGTTTATTTTCTATCGAATTCGAATTTTATAGCGTTTTTTGTATATTTGAGATTAATATTCTATGTCTCCTCTTTTATGTTCAAATTGAATATGTGATTGTTTTTCTCAATCACGTTATATTACATGAATGTCTCTACTGGGTTGTTATTGAAATTGAAATGTTGTAGTTTATAATTATCCATTTATTCATTTGAGTGCATTTATTGTTTATATAATGCATTTTTATGTTTTCACATTTTAATTATTTGAATTCCACATTTGTTTTGTATATTAATTTTGGTTTTTAAAAATATGAATTTGTGTTTAAATCTCTAGAAGTGACGAAAATTTATAACATAGGTAGATATGGATCGGAGTTGGATGAATACATGTTGTATTAGTGAAAGGTACATTTTTATGTTTTCACATTTTAATTATTTGAATTCCACATTTGTTTTGTATATTAATTTTGGTTTTTAAAAATTTTAAGAAAGCACATTTGTATGATTATTTGAAATATGATTTTGATCAACAATTATACACAAGATATAGTTTTACAAGACTATTAACAACTTTAAGATTGTTCAGTTTAAAAGCAAGAAATGAATGAATTAATAAAAGTTTCACCAAATTATTGGAGTTGTTGAAGGAGATGCTTCTCGAAGATAACATATTACTAATCATAACTATGAGGCAAAGAAGATACATGCATGCTCTAATGATTACATATTGTACATAAATTATTTTGCTAAATTAAAGATGTGTTTGACATGTGGTTTGTCGCGATTTAAAAACAAAGTTGATGGAAGTAGTGGTGAGGAAGAAATAGATGGCCCCCCGGCATGCCAACGGGGCAGGTTTTGGCTCCCCGATCCCCGCCCCTAACTTTTTTAACCGTCCTTATCCCTATCCATGCCGGGGTTAGAAATTAAGTCTTCATTTCGTCCCCGTTGGGTTTCGGATTTCACCGTCCTCGTCCTATCCTCGATCTATATTACTTTTAAGAAAATAATTATATTTATAATAAATTATTTTTTCTATTTTTATATATTTTTTATACATAAATAAATATTTATAATTTTACAATTTGTTATTATTATTAATTAAATATATATTTTAATTTATTATATTTATATTAAAATATATATGTAAAAGAAATATTTAATTATTTTTTATTTATACATATATAGAATATTTATAATAATAATAATATTATTATTATTACTATTATAATAATAATAATGTACTCAAACATTTGAATACTTATTATTATTCTTATTATACAATATTCAAACATTTGATTATATATATATAAGTTAATTCATTTTTAAGTTGTCATTTAAAAATATGAAATATATAGTTTATAAGGAAATATTTAATAAGTTAATTCTTATTTAATTAGTTCAAAATGATACAAGTTTAAATTATCAATTCTTTTTAATCCTTTAAAATACAATTATTTTATTAAGATAAAATTTGATATATGACAAATAAGAATAATAAGATCCAAAAAATATGACATAATAAAACCTAATAAATATAAATTATAAATAAAATAATATTAGTTACTATTAAAATTTATGTAAAATATTTAGAAAAAGATAAAGAAAAAAATTAACTTTGTGTTCATCAAATTGGTTGAAAAGATTAAAAAAAACAAATTGATTGGAGAAATTAAGAAAATGTGAAAAATTGAAAGGTAAAAGAAGAGAATAATATAATAAACTAATTGATATAAAAGATTAAAAAAGGCAAAAGAATTAAAAAGTTGGTAGAAGAAAAGTAAAAATGGTGAAATATAAAAAATGACCTTATATGGTAAAATACTTTTAAAATATTAATATTTTAAAATTTAAATTTAAATATAAAGTCGGACGAGGATGAGGACGGGGTCGGGGTGGAGATTGCATTACCCATCCCCGACTTTTTAAAGCGGAAAAACCCTAACCCACCCCCGCCTCCGCCTCCAAGTCAATTCAATTTTTCCCCGTCAAACTCGGGACAGGGACAAATTGGTCCCGACAGGTACGAATTTAATTGTCATCCCTAATCTCCTACTAAGGTGTTATGGTATTTGTCAATAATACCTAGGCTCAAAAGATTATTTGCGATAAAAGAATATGCAACTTGACATGTCATGCAGATGATAGAAAATGTGACAATCTTCTTCGACATCTAATTCTCCACAATGGAAGATGATCGATGAAACATTTATAGAATTTGGTGTGGAGTCAAGAAACTTGAGAATTAGATTAGTTATAGATGAAATGAATCATTATGGGAATTTAAGTAGTAAACATAGCTTATAGTCAGTTTTGTTGATCATTTACAATTTGTCTCCTTATGCATGAAGAGAAAATATATTATGTTGTCTATGATGATTTCAAAATCTCAACAACTAAGAAATGACATATATATATATATATATATATATATATATATATATATATATATTAGTCCTTTGATTGATAATTTGAAGATGTTGTG